AAATTATAAATAAAAAAAATCGCCGAAAAATCGTATTTTAGAGCTCTTGAAAGATAAGCAAAGAAAATGTAAAATTTCTCCACATAATCTTCGTTTACAACAAAAACTGAAAAAAACTCCGCTATTTATAACACAATTCATAGAACTTATACTTTGGTTTTCTTACATATATGCGGAAAATGATCAGATGTAAATGATTTCGTTATCGCGTGAAAGAGTGGATGAAATTACCTATCGCGTTACTGAAAAAAAATGTATTTCTAAATTGCGTTTTCTTGATATAAGGAAACAATCTTCTAATTTTAAAATGTATATTATTATCTTCATTTCCCTGTAATGATTTGTATATTGTGTAAGAAAAGAAATAGATATTTAACAGCAAACTCCTTGATAAACGAAACATTGGAGGTTGATACACTTCGTGAAATATATAGTTATTTATCAAGTTTCCACAGTGGTTTGAAATCTTCGTATAACAACAACAATAATAATAATAATAATAATTTTAATTAAAATAATAATAATAATGATAAAAGGAAAACGTGTATCTTTGCCGGAGATCTTTTATTTTTAGGGTTGTTTTGTTGTTGTTCTTCTTCATTTGTCTTTTTTTTCTCGTAGCCCCATTCATTATGTTGGTACTTTTTACAAAGTGACGCAGATTTAACAAATAACTAACAAACTTTCTAAGAAATATGTATACATTCTCGCCAGTTTTAATATAATATACATATAGATAGCATTATTGCAAAAGTATTATTCTATACTAAACGTTTGAGTTATTGCCTGGATAACCTAGCTAATTTATTCACTATATAAAGGACTAAATAAAACATTTGCAGACAAAACAACCACAAAACCCGTTTCCATACAGCGGAATTCCCACAGTACATACTGCATACTAGTGAGATTTATTGATACACTACCGTTAGGTAGAGTTTTAGCGGTGTAAAACTAAAAAAACGTTGACATGAGTAGGAATTTGTAACCGTTGTGCATTAAAAACATATAACTTTCTGATCAATTTTCTTTAAATTGATTCTATTTTGAATAAGCTTTGCAGGTATGTAATTTTTTTCAAGAAATGTTGAGTTTAAATAAATATTTGAAGCCGTCAAAAGTTAGCGACGAGATTCTGGTCGCTGGCACATACACAAAGAAGGAAAACTTTCCGCATTGTTTTTGAATCATAAGTGGGTTGTGAGCGAAGGGCGACCATCGTCTGTATAAAAAAGCCCTAAAACGCACAATTTGTTGAGCTACTGCACTGGGGATTCTGTCATTTTTTTCCTTTCCCACTATATATATAATATAACAAGGGATACAACTCAAAATTGCTCAATTCATGAAAAAGTAAATAGAACGAAGTATACGTGTAGTCAGTACAACAGTTTTTCTTTCTTTTGATTGTTGGACATTGATGAAAGAATCGATAATTTCAAAAAGTTACATGGACAAGATATTATGTTTCATTTTTACACACGTTCGTAAAATTTTGGTTATGTGTAAAACAACATCTAATGCAAACGTATGCTCATCAAAGAAAGTTAAATCATGTAATCGGTTAAATATCAATCATCCACCACCATCAATGATGCAATCATTAACATCTGGTACAAATTATTCCAACAATTTTTGTTTGTTATGCCCCCGCCATGTAATGGCCGGGGCATATAGTGTTACCCTGTTCCGTCATTCCGTCATTCTGTCATTCCGTCATCATCAGTTTCCGTTCATTATCTTAAGATCGGTTGGACACATTCAACTCAAATTTGACATATGGATATGTCATGAGAAAATACAGGTCAAGTTCGAATTTGGTCATGGTTCGATGATTTTTGGCAGAGTTATGCCCCTTTTACTTTGAAAATAATATGAAATTTTCAGTTTCCGTTCATTATCTCCCTCAAGGTACAACACATTCAACTCAAACGTGACATATGGATGCGTCAAAGGAATGCGCAGGTCAAGTTCAAATTTGGTCATGGTTCAATGATTTTTGGCAGAGTTATGCCCCTTTCACTTTGAAAGTAATATGAAATTTTCAGTTTCCGTTTATTATCTCCCCAATGGTACAACACATTCAACTCAAATTTGACATATGGATATGTTTTTGGAATACGCAGGCCAAGTTCGAATTTGGTCATGGTTCAATGTAATGCCCCTTTCACTTTGAAAATAATAATGGTCAAGTTGGAATTTGGTCATGGTTTGATGATTTTTTGGCAGAGTTAATATGTCCCTTTCACTTTGAAAATAATATAGATACATCTTAGAAATAAGCAGTTTAAGTTTGAATTTGGTCATGGTTCAATGATTTTAGACAAACTTATCTTTCCTGAATGTTGGAAAAGTTTTGAACTTTCAGGTTCAGCACTCATTCTTTTAGTCATTATTTTGGCTACAAATATGCAATATGCTATTTCTAAAAGGTTAAGACTGAATAATTTCAGTGCCTTGAACATTGTATGGAAATGGTTTGTGTTAACATTGAAAAGTTTTAAGGGCTTTGAACTTAAAATGAAAAAAATAATTAATGCACCATCTGAAATTTTGGCTGCATGCGGGGGCATCCGTGGCATGATGACACATTTCTAGTTTTGATAATTTCTATCCTCTGCTTCCATTTTGATGTTGCCCGTATGGTCCATGCGTAAATCCAACTTCTGTTAGTGACTGTCAATTTCATTGGCTAATGAATAATAATAATCGGGATAATAACAGCGTATACCTGCGATGAATAGCGGGTTTTTCATCAGCCAATGAAAATACTCGGAACATAAACACACCTGCAAAATGGACGACAACTTGACAGCCAATGTAAATATTGAAATGTTAGCTATTTCCTGCAATGTTACAGGTTTTAATGAAGTGTTTGTAGTAGAACTTGGGTAATGACTCATTCATATATTAACTTCTACAATAACTTTGATGGAATAGAGGATATTTTATACAGTTTACACATGTGAATGCATTTTACGAACCCGTGCTGGTAGTGCGAGGCCATGACTTGTATCCCTTGTTTATATTATATATATATTGATTTAATAAAATAATTTCCCTGTGCTCACCTGTACACCATGACACGAAGCAAAATGATAAATGTTTGAAAATCTTAACCTATGACCTTTACCCTTACTCACATCACTTAAACCCTATCCCTAGACACTGAAAGGGCACTTTGGGTATGGACCTCCAAACGCCTTAAACGTTAAATCCAAATAAATTTTAATAGCTTTAAGGTGTTCAGCGTACCCGTTTATATAGTATGACATATGTGAACGCTGAAGACAGACCTGTAGGGAAAGTCCACCAATAATCGTGCCAGGAATCTGACACGCTCGTATTCATTCATCGGACATGCCATGAAGTAAAGTGAAGCATACCTTGATAAAACAATATATAATCTGTTGATGAGCCAAGGATGGACAAATAAAAATCTTATTACGAACATAAACTACCTAATAGTTTCCGACAGGTAAAAAATTCAACACTTGGTCGCCATATTGCCAAAATGTTTGACCACGAGATTACGGGATTGACCTTTACGAACCCATGTGTTTCCAACTTTTTTATAAATTACTTTTTTAAAGATATTGAAAAAGGTGATTTACTGACTTTTGTATTCAATATAATCATATTTAAGTACTAAAAAATTAAAGAAAATAAATAAAAACAGCTTGAATTATAAATATTTAAATCATGTCAGCAAAAATGTTCTAAATATAGTACATAACGCTACTCTAATCGGTTCCCGCGAATGACGTCATACGAGGTCTCGCGTAGCTCCTAAATGTCATGGCTGACTGTAGTCTGCGTAATTGATGTTTTACAATTAAATAGGCAATTTTAATGACTGTTTTAATGTTTTGATACTTTAAATGGTATAGAACGATATTAAAATAATTGTTTTATCGCAAAATGCACAAGAATTGATTGGGACAAGAGTATTTGCTAGTGAAAAATAGGGTTAAATTAGCTTATGTTATTCTGGTTAGGTTTCGTAACGGGTCTATTAATCCAAAACTTTAATGCTGCATCAGATGAAAAATAGAAAAATTAAAAAGCGGCTTATAAAGTTTTGGAAGCCAGATTGGCAGAACTAAAATTTTAAGTATTCAGAAATGCGGAATTATTTAATTATGCCAGACTTTGGTCTTTTTGTCGGCAGACAAGTAGGTTTTCACAGAGAGGTTGGTTGGACAAGTGAATTTCGTAGCCAGCAAAATAATGCTAAAATTCTAACATTACTTGATTGCGAATGTTTAATTTTTCCCCGATGTTGTTTAACCTGTGTTAACATTGTGTAATTTTATTTATACCCTACTATTCTTTTCGAAAACCTAGCTAAACACTGTTTTCCGATACGTTACGGATTTAGCTCTGGGGAATTACACCAAATGAAGAATATAACACTAATACATGATATTTCTATTTTTGTGCCCCCACTATTGGGGGGCATTTAGATTTACCCTTGTCTGTCCGTCCATCCGTCCTTCCGTTCCCTTTTTGTGTCCCACGTAGCTCAAAAAGTAATTGACCTAGAGTCATGAAACCTTTCAAGAATGTTGATCAGCATGTGAAGTTGTGCACCTGGGTATTTTCACATGGATATATTTAGTATTTTCAGAGTTATTGCCCTTGACTAAGTAAAAATTTGCAATTTTCAACTTATGTCTCACGTAACTCAAAAAATATTTGACCTAGAGTCATGAAACCTTACTGGAATGTTGATCAGCATGTGTAGTTGTGCACCTGGGTATTTTTGTGTGGATATATATTTAGTATTTTTCAGTGTTCAATCTAGAACAAATTCCCAGGGGGCTATTCGGGCCCATAAACTTTTCAAAAGGGGGTCATTTGAGAAAAAAGGGGGCCCACACTTAAAAGAACATCAAATTCAAATAAGGTATTGTATCTTTTAAATTTAAGTTACTTGTTCACGTACCATATATAGACCAAAAACCGTTTCAAAATTCCAAACAATCAACTCACTAAAAATGACATTATTTCGACCTTTTTTGAGAGTTCTGTTAGCGTTGATACAGGCTCAATTTTTAGAACTGATTGGTAAAGAAACGGTGACATAATGTTCAAAGAAACATATGAATCTTATTTTAATGTTACCAGGGATATTTGATTGTAATGTTCAGTTTTTAGCTCGACTATACGAAGTATATGGAGAGCTGTCCTACTCGCCCCGGCGTCCGCGTCCAGATTTTAGATTAAAGTTTTGGTGCAGTAAAATATTTTTCACTATAACTTTGTCATTTCTTTAGGTATCAACTTCAAACTTCAAATATATGTTCCTTATCAACAACCACATCTTATGTGACAAGGTTCATAACTCTAGCACCAATATTTTCAGATTTATCTCCCCTTGAACTTAGAATTTTCCTTAAAAAATACTATATTTTACTGTTACTTCTTTATTTCTTAAGGGATCAACCTCATACTTCAAATATATGTACCTTATCATCATCCCCATCTTATGTGACAAGGTTCATAACTCTAGCACCAATATTTTCAGATTTATCTCCCTTTGAACTTAGAACTTTTCTCCAAAAAATACTATTTCTTACTGTTTCTTCTTTATTTCTTAAGGGATTAACCTCATACTTCAAATATATTTATGTTATCATCATCCCCATCTTATGTGACAAGGTTCATAACTCTAGCACCAATATTTTCAGATTTATCTCCCTTTGAACTTAGAATATTCCATAAAAAATATTATTTTTTACTGTAACTTATTTATTTCTAAAGGGATCAAATTCATACTTCAAATATATTTACGTTATCATCATCCACATCTTATGTGACAAGGTTCATAACTCTAGCACCAATATTGCAAGAATTATCTCCCCATAAACTTAGATTTTTTTACTAGAAAAATGTTATTTTTTATTATAACTTTTTTATTTATAAAGGTATCTACCTCAAACTTCAAATACTTATTCCTTATCATCAGTTACATTTTATGTGACAATGTTCATAACTCTTTAAGCAATATTTACAGATTTATCTCTCTTTGAACTTAGGATTTTCTTTAAGAAATATAATTACTTCTTTACTTTTTAAGGTATGTACTTCAAACTTCAAATATATATTTCTTATCATTACACAAATGTTGTGTGACAAGGTCCATAACTCTAGCATGACTATTTCTAGAATTATTCCCCTTGATCTTTGAATTTATGTTAACAAATGTTATTTTTTTACTATGACTTAATACATAATTATACATAATTGATTTTTCTTTCATAGTTTTGTCCTCTTTACTGCGTCCAGGATTTTATTAGTCGAGCTTCGCTGTCTCCTGTGACAGCTCTTGTTTAATCAGCGCCCGATAAATAAAAGAAAATCATATTTTGCAATTAGCTTTGTTGATGAAGAATATCAACTTACAATAGTCGCTAAAAACATTTACCCTTCTCAATATATCCAAGCGAAAAACAAAGTGTCAACAGGTGCTAAGACAATGTATATTGACATACAGGTACCTTTGATCTTTTGTCAGGGCAGCAGTTCTTACGTCACGCTTAAGATGTCTGTATTGATTAATGATATGCACAATGTTTAAGCGCCGACCAGCCAAAGACCAATCAAAAGTTTATTTACTCAATTGTCAGACACTCCCTAGCCAATCGTGTTTGATATAAATGAAAGAGTTGGCTTCTCCTATTTAGGGATTTACATGTATGAGTGTCATGTGAAGAAAATTCATTATTTAAAAAGATGTTGTAAAATAAAATAACTGAGTTAATTATGTAAGCCATACAGGCATGTAAAAATAGTTAAAAAGCAAACTGGAAGCAATTATTCTTGTAAAGCATTACTGTAAAAATATGATTAAAAACTTAAAAGGGGCACTTTAATTTTTTTACAGCCCTTGAAGAAACTGAGAAGAGTGCAGGGCTTGGCTGGAATACTTCAAATAGATTTGGCATGGATACACCATCAGGTGGAGGGAAACAGTTTGATTACCATCACTTAATTAGTGAAAATAACACAGGAGATGTGCCAGATGCTCTTGTAGAGGAGTAAGTTACAAATTTTTTTATGCCCCCACAATATGGGAGCATATAGCGTTGCACTTGTCCGTCCGTCCGTCCGGCAGTCTGTCCGTCCGTACGTCCCGAAATCTTGTGAACGCAACTCCTCTTAAACCGGTTGGCAGATTTTGCTTAAACTTACAGGGATGAACAACCTTAATGTGTAGATGGTAGTAAAGGAAGGAATTTTTGCTGCGACCAAATTTAACAGAATTATGGCCCTTTGTTGATTTTTTCATTATATACTAAGTAGAAATTTTGTGAACGCAACTACTCTTAAACCGGATGGCAGATTTTGCTTAAACTTACAGGGATGAACAACCTTAATGTGTAGATGGTAGTTAAGGAAGGAATTTTTGCTGCGACCAAATTTAACAGAATTATGGCCCTTTGTTGATTTTTTCATTATATACTAAGTAGAAATTTTGTGAACGCAACTACTCTTAAACCGGATGGCAGATTTTGCTTAAACTTACAGGAATGAACAACCTTAAGGTGTAGATGGTAGTAAAGGAAGGAATTTTCGCTGCGACCAAATTTTACAGAATTATGGCCCTTTGTTGATTTTTTCACTATATACTATGTAGAAATTTTGTGAACGCAACTTCTCTTAAACCGGATGGCAGATTTTGCTTAAACATCCAGGGATTTACAACCTTAATTTGTAGATGGTAGTAAAGGAAGGAATTTTTGCTGCGACCAAATTTAAGAGAATTATGGCCCTTTGTTGATTTTTAGTTTTCAACTTGTGGCACATGTAGTCTAAAAAATATTTGACCTAGAGTCATAAGATTGACAGAACAGTGGCGTGTGGGGGCATCCGTGTCCTATGGACACATTTCTAGTTTTTTATAAGATCAACTTTAATTCAGTTACCTTATTAAAATCAAAAACAGACAATAAACAGGATTATTTCTTTATTGGACATTCCATATTTGTATTGTCTATTCATTTTCTGAATAAATTTAACTTTTTTCAGTTCCGTTAACATGGTTTATTTCATTCAACTGTATTCAGTAAATTGAGGTGAAAAATTAATTTTCAATTATTTTCTAGTTCATAAATTACATGTATGTTTGTTCTAAATTTGTGCTGAAAGTGTTTGTTTTAAATCTCCTGTTTGATTGATTATCATTTATTTGTGTCTAATTTGTGTTTGTCTAAATGAAACTATTGCTTTCACATTAGTTTGATACATTATAGAGAGGTGATTCTAGAAAACAATGTTCAAGGGGAGGAACAGGGGCAGCAACAACAACAACAACAGTTAGCACTTCAACAACAGCAGCAACAAAGTTTGATTGTGAAACAACAGCAACAACAATCACAACAAAAGTCACAGCAACTGCAGCAACACTTAACCCAGCAGCAACAGTATTTGCAACAGAAACAAACCATGTTGCAGAACCAGAAAAGAGGCATACAACAGGCGCAGAGCAGGAAGCAACCTGCTCAACAGAAAATGTTGTACACGGTCGTCCATTCAGGGAATCAGCATCAACAGCAGGTATTGGTATCTAACAAATCTGTACGCCAGCCTGGGCCTCAGCAAAATCAGTCTGTAGTGAAAACAAGTTCACAAATGCAGAAAATAAATAAAAACAATGTTGTGCTAGAAGGCGGTGGCCAATATGAAGAAGGACAGGCGTATGTGATTCGTGATCGCTACGGTAATGCACGAACAATGCTGTGGCAAAATGGAGAATTCCATCCTTTTGATAAGGACAAGGGAATTTTGAGTAAGAGTTTTAAAGTGTTATCTTTTATGCTTAGAAATTTTAAGATGTATGTTTTATATTGAATCACTAAAACATTATGAAGTTTAAGTTATGTGTACTAAATATTATGTTAAAGGTCAAACAAATTTAATGAACAACTGCATCACATTTAACTGTTCTGCGAAACAGTTGCTGAATAAGAATGATAAAAAAAAATAAAACCATGGCATATGCTTTGATTTTATACAGGCCATCCTTTTTAGCAATTTTATAACGGTCATAATTCATTGATTAGTTATACAAGTTTGTGTACTTACTTTAACAGTTCAGCACTCAGTTATAGATTCTAGTCAAAGAGGCAGGGGTGCTAGAGGTGGCCGCGACAGGGGTCGAGGTAGAGGTCAAGGGCAATGTTATGGAAACGCCACAGGTGTTCACATGTCACCAAATGTCAGAGGGTAAGAGAGAATGTACATTTTTAAACCTATTTTCTTTATTTTTTTTCTTTATTATTTTTCTTTATTATTGTCTTTTTTCAAAATACATATAATCCTATTTATGTTACATACATGAATTACTTCAATTTTACAGGATTAGTAAACCCTTGAGTTAATGCTAACATGCTAGTTGTGAATATATATGCTTAACACACACAGAGAAACATTTCAATTTATTAAATACATTTCTGTTGAGCGAAAATTAATTTTTAGGCAAAGATGTTGAAGATATTTTCCAGCATATGTTTTAGAGGAAATATTGAGAGTAATTCTGAATAAATGCCAACAAAGTAACTTAAAGCTATAAAAATGTGATTGGTTGTTCTTGTACATGATGTTATAACAGACAATCAAAAAGGGATACAATCAGATACTTTTATTAAGCTTTCCTTGAGATTGTTCAAATTTAACAAAACATAATATAAACAAGAGTCTGGGTGAAATGAAAAAAGAATCAGTATTGCATATTATTTGTACAAAAGTGGCTTAAATTCGTACTTATTAAGAATATTCATTCCAGTTAGAGTTTTGTAGTTTTAATGTTCGATACATAATATATTTACAGATCTTCACCAATGATTAATAACGGGGTTAGACAAACAAAATTTAATACACCCAATGTGCCAATTATCAGTGTCGTGACATCACCTGGCCTACAAGGACAGGTTGTTCAACAACGACCAAAGCTGCCTCTGCAGAATTTAATGCCAGCGGCACAGATCAAGTCCAAGCCTACAGACGAGGCATCTTCAGAGTATGAACCTTTGTTTTCACTCTCTAAATCTTTACGGCAAAAATGACATGCATTTTGGTTTAAACATGTTTATTTAAGCTCAATTGTGAAACAAGTTCTTGCAACTTATGTTAATCACTTTCGAGTTCGCTACCTGGAACCAACTAGTACTGATGTCATATGATAAGAAGAAAACATTTTCATGACCCGATTAGGGCTCGAACCCATGATCCCTGGATTGAAAGGCGACACCTTAACCACTAGGCCACCACTCCTCTTGAAATGCGTTAACTATCAATATGACTAGATACATACAACTTGCTTAAGAATAACCATCCCTTACAAAGTGGTTAGTATTGACTAATGTTATATAGTATAAATACAAAACAGTTCATGCATTGTTTCAAGTAACAAATTTTTCATACTTTTTGCCATGAATAGGGTATTGTTCAATGTAGCCTCATTAATTGAGAAATTACCAATATGAATATGAATTTTTGCGACACAATATTTAAATAACTTTATATGCCAATATAAAGCTCCATCTTTAAGACTTTTTAGCTCACCTGTCACAAAGTGACAGGGTGAGCTTTTGTGATCACTTTTCGTCCGGCGTCCGTCCGTCGTCCGTCCGTCGTCCGTAAACTTTTACTTTAAATGACATCTCCTCATAAACCACTAGGCCAATTTCATCCAAACTTCACAGGAATGTTCCTTTGGTGGTCACCTTTAAAAATTGTTCAAAGAATTTAATTCCATGCAGAACTCTGGTTGCCATGGCAACCGAAAGAAAAAACTTAAAATATCTTCTTTTAAAAAACCCTAAGAGCTAGAGCTTAGATATTTGGCATGAAACATCTTCTAGTGAGTGTCTACCAAGTTTGTTCAAATAAAAGCCCTGGGGTCAAAATTGCCCCGCCCCAGGGGGTCATTGATTTTCCCTATATGCATATAGTAAAAACTTAAAAAATCTTCTTTTAAAGAACCAAAAGAGCTAGAGCTAAGATATTTAGCATGAAACATGTTCTAATGAGTGTCTACCAAGTTTGTTCAAATAAAAGCCCTGGGGTCAAAATTGGCCCCGCCCCAGGGGTTCATTGATTTTCCCTATATGCAAATAGTAAAAACTTAAAAAATCTTCTTTTAAAGAACTCAAAGAGCTAGAGCTTAGATATTTATCATCAAACATGTTCTAATAGGTGTCTACCAAGTTTGTTCAAATAAAAGCCCTGGGGTCAAAATTGGCCCCGCCCCGGGGGTCATTGATTTTCCTTATATGTGTATAGCAAAAACTTAAAAAATCTTCTTTGAAAAAACCCATATAGCTAGAGTTAAGATATTAAGCATGAAACATCTTCTAGTGAGTGTCTACAAAGTTTGTTCAAATAAAAGCCCTGGGGTCAAAATTGGCCCCGCCCCGGGGGTCATTGATTTTCCTTATATGTGTATAGCAAAAACTTAAAAAATCTTCTTTGAAAAAACCCAAATAGCTAGAGTTTAGATATTAAGCATGAAACATCTTCTAGTGAGTGTCTACAAAGTTTGTTCAAATAAAAGCCCTGGGGTCAAAATTGGCCCCGCCCCGGGGGTCATTGATTTTCCTTATATGTGTATAGCAAAAACTTAAAATCTTCTTTGAAAAAACCCAAATAGCTAGAGTTTAGATATTAAGCATGAAACATCTTCTAGTAAGTGTCTACAAAGTTTGTTCAAATAAAAGCCCTGGGGTCAAAACTGGCCCCTCCCCAGAGGTGTCATTGTTTTTAACTATATGTGTATAGTAAAACCTTTAAAAAATCTTCTTTTTAAAAGCCCAATGAGCTAGAGCTTAGATGTTTAGCATGAAACATCTTCTTATGGGTGTGTGTGTGCGGGGGGGGGGGGGGGCTATATACAGGTGAGCGACCTCAGGGCCATCATGGCCCTCTTGTTTAATTGGATGAAGGCGTGTTCGTAATAATTTATGCACACTTCTTTATAATTAACTTACACTTTTCACAAATATATAGGTTTTTTTTTTCTCCGGAAAGTTATGACATATTTATTATGCCCCCGCCATATAATGGCATGGGCATATACATTGTAGTGTTACCCTGTTCCGTCATTCCGTCCTTCCGTCATCATCAGTTTCCGTTCATTATCTTAATAACCGTTGCACATATTGAACTCAAATTTGACATATGGATATGTCATGAGAAAATACAGGTCAAGTTCGAATTTGGTCATGGTTCGATGATTTTTGGCAGAGTTATGCCCCTTTTACTTTGAAAATAATATGAAATTTTTAGTTTCCGTTCATTATCTCCCCAACGGTACAACACATTCAACTCAAACTTGACATATGGATATGTCATGAGAAAATATAGGCCAAGTTTGAATTTGGTCATGGTTCAATGATTTTTGGCAGAGTTATGCCCCTTTTACTTTGAAAATAATATGAAATTTTCAGTTTCCGTTCATTATCTCCCCAATGGTACAACACATTCAACTCAAACTTGACATATGGATACGTCAAAGGAATGTGCAGGTCAAGTTCAAATTTGGTCATGGTTCGATGATTTTTGGCAGAGTTATGCCCCTTTCACTTTGAAAATAATATGAAATTTTCAGTTTCCGTTCATTATCAACCCAACAGTGTTACATATTCAACTCAAATTTGACATATGCCATTATGGATATGTCAAAGGAATGTGCAGGTCAAGTTGGAATTTGGTCATGGTTCGATGATTTTTTTGCAGAGTTATGTCCCTTTCACTTTGAAAATAATATAGATACATCTTAGGAATAAGCAGTTTAAGTTTGAATTTGGTTTCTGTTTCAGCACTCATAACTTTTGTGGAAATGTATGTAGCCATTTTTTTGGCTACAAATATGCAATATGCTATTTCAAAAGGTTAAGACTGAAAAAATTTCAGTGCCTTGAACATTGTTTAAAAATGGTTTTGTGTTAACATTGAAAAGTTTTAAGGGCTTTTGAACTTACATGAAAAAAATAATTTGGAGCTAAATATTATAACATTTGAAAATTTTGGCTGCATTCGGGGCATCCGTGGCATGATGACACATTTCTAGTTTGAGGTTTGACGCGTGAAAAAACTTATAACTACACGCACGTAATTGGATTATCTGTTGACGATTTTTTTTGTTTATAAAAATTGTGACTCAAACTGAGACCAAAAAACATTAGAGTTCGTTATTACACTCCATTAGGTGAATTACCCAGAGCTATGTACAGAAAGTACCCAAAAAACAGCGTTGAGCTAGGTTTTCGAATTTGTGAATCAAGTCCCCCAAAATTTCACTTTTTTATCCCCCGCCCGACAAAAGGCGGACAGGGGATATACATAGAATAGTCTCCGTCCGTGACGGTCGCGTGCCAACCTTCCGTGCCGAGGCCATTTTTGTCCGGAGCAATATCTCTAAAAGTATTTTGAGTTTAATCAACATTGAAACTTCACTAGGTGGATAGACCTCATTGAGGAGAGTGCGAGTGCACAAGAATGGATAACTCCAAAAAGCCTAATGAGATATCAACATGAAACTTCATAGGTGCAATAGATCTCTACCAGGAGGTGTGGCAGTGCACAAGAATGATAACTCTACCTTCATAATTTTTAGCCATCACCTTGCACAAAAGTGCAGGTGAGTCTTTTAGGATGGCCAACCAAATGGCGTCCGTCGTCCGTCCACATTTGATTTTATTCCGGACGACAATCTTCTACATACCACGGTGGTGCCATATTGAATGAATACTTGGCAGGAAATAGCTCAGTTGTATGAAGCTATCTATGCAAGATTGTGCACAAGAAGTGCCATTCCATTGGTGTAAAGCTGTGACATGCGCAACTAAAATGAAAAAACTTAAAAGTTCGTTATACTTCAAAATGGAAAGGGCTAGCAGCTTAGCATATTTCTCACAAGGCATTAATAGAGCTTGTTATTCCTACAAAAGTTATATTTCAAATCTATGGGTCTAAAAGGCGAAAATTGGTCTCTATTTTGGGAGAGTTAAAGAGTTTTTCTTTTATGCAATATGGTTATATATCAGGACTTTCTTATAGTTAGGGATTAATTGAGACAGTGTATCTCTGTATGTGAGTATTGTCTCAATCACATTGTTATGAAGACTTTTTCTTCTTAAAGCATAAGAAGGAATTGAAAAGTTTGTTGAAAGTGAATGTTAATAGTCAAAACAAGAGTCAGATCACAGATTAGCACAAAGAATTTGAGAGCTACAGTGAGTTGATTTCCCCTATTTTTATAATGGTAATTTTTCACATAAATTTCGTAATATCATCAGAAAAGGAAGACTGTGTCATTTCCAAAATAAATTGCAAGGTAATTTTGGTTCTTGACATTGACTTGCCACATTTTTTTGTAAGATATTGCACAAAGAAACGAAAGTAAACAAAAAGTGTTGTATTTTTGTTCAGAAAAAAATAGGCTTATTAAAGATAAACAGTTTAATTATACAGTGCGGATATTGACTTAAATGTCTTCCTTTCCGGTTTGCGGAACACAAATCATTATAGTTTTTGTGTACACCGGATCTTACTGAAATCTGCTGAACGACTTTATGACATAAATATTTTATTCTGATTATAAACATACAATTTCAAATCATTAAATAATAGGTTATCATATCAGGTCCTGAGTCTTAGAAAACATCTGTATCAATCTGACCTATAATACTAACTAATCGGATTACGAATTAGGAACAAAAGCGACTTGAACAAGGAGAAATTGAGGAAATTTTGTAACTAAACTCGTATTCAACAATAGAAGTGAAGATGAATACATTACAGTCGTGTGCTGATACTCGTTGAAGACAGGTATTTTGCGTTAACTATTTGTGAAGTAATTAAGGGATGACAATTAGTATTTATGTAAATATCGACCTCCCGTGAATAGATTGTCTTAAATTTGATAGGCAATGTTTTTGGCGATCTCTCGAGGTCAATTGTTTCTGAAATCGACGCAAATCAGATGAGAATCGGGAAGGGTGTTGTGGGCATGCATCT